CTCCATGGTTACCATCTCCTCGTTCTTCATCTCCACCTCATCTCTCGCCATGACCTTTCCGCCTCCTTCTCTAGCCCACTTTTCCTCCTCCTCCTCTGCTCCCACCTTTCCTCCTCTTTCTCCTCCCCCATCTCCACCACCTTCCTGTTTCTCCATCCTCATCACCTTTTGTCCTACTCCTCTACTCCCACCAACAAAACACAATTGGATAATTGGACAGGACCTCAAGTCCGGGAAAAACTTCTAGAATCGACTGTATATTTGATTGAACTGAAAAGAAAAGAAAACACCATGCAACAAAACACAGACTGCCTTCATGATTCTACAATTTCCAGACTGCCTTCATGATTCTACAATTTCCAGAGACTTCATAAAACAATGGTAGCTCATTACTTGACTTCGTAAAAACGCCATAAATAGAGAAATCAGAAGAAGCATAACAAAAGAAAAAGCTTGTCCTCCTCTCCTGTCCTCGCCTCCCGTACCCCTCTCGTACGCCCTCGGACCTCCTATCCCCCCCCCCCCCCCCCCCCCCCTCCTACGACGACTCCTTTATTTCTCTCGTTGGGACCCGCTCACTCTGGACTCCTCCACCTCTCCCTCCTCTCTACCCCTGTCTCTTATACACATCTAGATGTGTATAAGAGACAGAGGCAGAGGAGAGTGCCAAGCCTGCTTTGCTGGCTACGCACAGCAAAAAAAAAAAACAAAAAAAACGAAGTGCAATAAAGAAAAAACAAACCAAAGTGCTCCCCATCTCTGGGCTCGTCCCGGGGCCAAATTGTCGCCAGGTGTCTTGTGCGGGACACCGTCACGGGAGAGCCGCTTTTACTGAACACTTTTCTCTCTGCAGCACAACTTTTGGTGCTATGCGGCTTGGCTGTGGTGTTATGTCTATCAAGTATCGCGCAGTACTATGTGGACTCATGGTACCATGTGTGTGGAATGCAGCACTATGTAGGTTGAGTGTTGCACTATGGAGCCAGGGAAGGTAGAACCAATATGTACTTGAAAAACACGAACACAGACACGGTTTCCGGGAAAGCATGAAAAACGGGAGCACATCACGGCACCAAGAGGTGCTAGCTACTATGTGGTCTTGGTAAAACTATGCAGGTTGGACGGTACCATGCGAACTGGGCATTCCGCCTGTGGAATATTATTTGGTGTGGGCCATGCCATGTGGCGCGGACGGAACTATGAGGCCTGGGTGATACAAATGTCGGATAGGTGGGTGACGCGGGGTATGTGGGCTGGGGCGGGCTCCACCATGTGGACTGGGTGGTACCATCCCGGTTGGGTCATACTATGTGGACTCTATAGTATTAAACCGCCAGTACACGGCCCCAGCCTTGCAGAAAGTTGAAAAAAAAACTCGGAGGGGTCGTGCGGCATCGGGCACTCTTGAAAAAAAAGAATCCGCAGCCTCCAAAGTGGAGGAAAAAAAAGAATCCGCAGCCTCCAAAGTGGTGCGGGTTCCACGCTGACAGCCCCGGGCCTATGTATCGTGTACTAGTGCTTTAACACACAGACGGCCATAAACAAGAAAACAGAAGACACACAGGCCCGAAAAATGAAAAAAAAAACACGCGGCCGACACTGGGGACTTGGCCCTATGCACGGCTAGGTGACACTATGCAGGCTGGGTGGTATTATGTGGCTTGGGTGATACTATGCGGGTTGGGTGGTTCCATCTGGACTGGGTGGTACCATGTGGGCCGGATGGTAATACTCCATCTCCACCTCCTCTTCCTCCTCCACCTCCTCTTCTTCTCCACAACCTCCACTTCGTCCTCCTTTTCCTCTTCTTACTTCCTCCCTCCTCTCTTCATGCTCCCCTCTTCTCCTCCCCTCTCTTCCCTTTTCACCCCTCTCTGTCTCGGTCTCCATCCACTGGATCGATCCCTGTTGATTGATTTAGCAATTGATTGATTGATTGTTACAGTCGTGAGCACACGGAAGTGACAAACTGTGCCATTTCCTTGTTGATCCCCGACAAACTGTGTTTTTTCCTTGTTGATCCCCTTTTTCAGTTTCCCTCTTTCTCCTAAAGCAGGGTTTCTCTCTCTCTCTCTCTCTCTCTCTCTCTCTCTCTCTCTCTCTCTCTCTCTCTCTCTCTCTCTCTCTCTCTCTC